CTGTCCACCTCTGTAACCGTCTCTTTCTGTCTGCCCTTGCCCCAACCCCTGCCTTCTTGTCCATCTTTGTCTCTCTTTTTTAAACTTACAGGAATTTTCAAACACAGAGGTAGAGAGAACATTCTAATGAATCCTATATGCCTGTCACCCACCTTCAACTATAAGTATTTTGCCAGTCTTTCTTCATCTATTCTCCCCCACCTTTTTTTCCTGTATTATTTTATTTTATTATTATTTTGTTTTTGTTTTTGTTTTTTTTAAAGATTTTATTTTTTCCTTTTTCTCCCCAAAGCCCCCCGGTACATAGTTGTGTATTCTTCGTTGTGGGTTCTTCTAGTTGTGGCATGTGGGACGCTGCCTCAGCGTGGTCTGATGAGCAGTGCCATGTCCGCGCCCAGGATTCGAACTAACGAAACACTGGGCCGCCTGCAGCGGAGCGCACGAACTTAACCACTCGGCCACGGGGCCAGCCCCTTCCTGTATTATTTTAAAACACATTCCAGACATCATGTCATTCCCACTCTAAATACTTCAGCACACATCTATTAACTCATAAGGGCCTTCACTTTGTAACGTAGCCCCAGGGCCACTTTCGCCCCTAGCAGTTAGCAGTGAGCTCTTCGTACCGTCTCACGCTGAGTCCATGACCAGATTCCCCAGTCGTCCCCACACTGCCCCGTTCTTGTCTCTCTCCCTCTCTGTTCCACTCTCTTCCAGCACCTTCTTTGCTCAGCACTCTGTCTGTCTCCGTCCCCGCATGTCCTTTCAGTGTTGCTCTCGGATTTGGGGGATGCAGGCTTACTTTGCTCCCTTCCCACAGTCTTCTCCAGTGCGGGGAGTGAGTATGTGGAGAGAAGCATGGCTGTGAGGAAGAGGGGGCCCCGTTCTTGGGGAGCTCCCAGACCGGTGGGCCAGGAGCGTGGGTTCCGGGCCCCCGTGGTGGGAGAGGCTGGAGGGCGGGTGTGGCTTGTTGGTAGCACCTTGTCAGGCGGCTCCCTGGAGGAGGCAGGGCCTTGGCTGCCCAGCAGGCCTCTCCACCCTCCCATTTGCCTCACCCTCTGTTTCCAGGAGGATACACGGGCTCATCGGCAGCGGCTGCAGAAGCACCTGGCTGAGCATCTGCGCCAGACCTGGGGCCGGCCGGGGGCCCCCCCACAAGCCGGAGACCTGGGAGAGCTGCTGCAGGCCTGGGGTGCTGGGGCCAGGACTGGCGCTCCCAAGGGCTCCCGCTTCACGCATTCAGAGAAGTTCACCTTCCACCTGGTGGGTGGGCCTGAGTGCACAGGAGGCATGCTGATGGGGCCGAGGCCAGCTTGGAGGGGTGCTTTATGGACAGACACCACACTTTATCCACACAGGTTCCTGTGTTACCAGTGGGTGTGCCCTCTCCCCACTCGGGGCGAGTACCCAGAGGGGTCCCCTGGCTTCTCAGGGATTTCACTGGAGAAAGGGTGAAGGGGTGCTGTTTGCGCAAAACCTCAGCCTTCCTGGGCATTTTCCTCTGGACATATCTTCTCTCCTTGGATGGTCACCCAGAGGGGCCCTCATCCTTCTCACGGGCAGCTGGGGCTTCATAGATGGGGCAGGTGGGCAGGAGCTGTGTCAGGGTCAGGGAAGTTTATTTACGAGTAAACACTCTAGTCTGAGGTCACAGAGAGTACCTTAATCCTCGTACATTTACAGTCTGACAGCCATCAGCGATGGAGTGGGCATGGGGACGGTGCTAGGAGGGCTGGGCTGTCAGGGGCGGGGCCTTCCCTGACAGCCAGGATGCTCCCTTCTCACTTCCCCAGGAGCCGGAGGCCCAGGCAGCCCAGGTGTCAGATGTGCCAGCCACCTCCCGGCGGCCTGAACAGGTGAGCAGAGCAGTGGGGGGGTGCCCTGGGCCCTTGCCTGTCTAGTGAACCTGACACCCCAACCCCACCTGGCCTGTGCCTCCCAGGACACGTGGGCAGCTCAAGAGCAGGAGCTGGAGTCCCTTCGTGAGCAGCTGGAGGGAGTGAACCGCAACATTGAGGAGGTTGAAGCCAACATGAAGACTCTGGGAATCAGCCTCGTGCAGGTGAGGGCGGGAGTCGGGGAAGGGCTGCCCGCCTGGGGTTGGGTCACAATTCGGGCCTAGAGGACTTAGAGGGACTAGAGGGGGCCGAGAGGTACTCTGTAGAGGTCTGCAGATGTCGGAAAGGTTTGTGGGGGCCGCTGGGGACATGTGGGGCTCTTAAGGGTTCAGGGGAATGGGTGAGGATAAGACGGGGATGTAGGGTGTGGGGATGGGAACTGTAGGGGTTAGAGGCACCGGTGGACGTCAGTGGGGCCTTGTGGGTGTCTGTGAGTCTCGCCCTCAGACTGTATGGGCAGGACCTTGTGGAGCTCGTCAGGGCTCCTGGGGGTCAGTGTGGAGGTGGAGGGCTCGGGCCTGTGGGTGCCCAGCACTGCTTATAGGTCTCTGTTGCTATCAGGAGGGGGACGAGGGGCCTATAGGAGCTAGAGGGGTGTGTTGTCATCTGTGGGGGCTCGGGCTAGGCCAGGGCTTTCCAGGCTCGGTGGGGGCTGGGAGCCTGTGGTATGTGGCCAGGCTCCTCCACTGACTGGGAGTGGGGGGTCACGGGGTGCCAGGTGGAGACTGAGTGTCGGCAGAGCAAGCTCAGCATGGCGGAGCGTGAGCAGGCCCTGCGCCTGAAGAGCCGGGCAGTGGAGCTGCTGCCCGATGGGGCTGCCAACCTCGCCAAGCTGCAGGTGGGGCTGGTGCTGGGGCTGGGTGGGGAGGGTCAGAGTTGGAAGGGCCCAGCCTGTGTGACGTGTTATCTCCCTACCACCACCTCCAGCTCGTGGTGGAGAGTAGTGCCCAGCGGGTCGTCCACTTGGCAGGTCAGTGGGAAAAACACCGAGTCCCGCTCCTTGCTGAGTATCGCCACCTCCGAAAGCTCCAGGATTGCAGAGAGGTAGGTTGTGGGGTCCTGGGCTGTGGATGGGGCAGGTTTCTCCCTCCCTAGGTGGCCATCCCTGTGCTCTGCTCACTGCCCTCTACCCATGGGGTCCTGGCAGCTGGAATCTTCTCGAAGGCTGGCAGAGATCCAGGAGCTGCACCAGAGTGTTCGGGCAGCTGCCGAAGAAGCCCGAAGGAAGGAGGAGATCTATAAGCAACTGGTAAGGCCCGTGCAGGGGCCCTGGGTGGCTTGGAGCAGGTGGGGTGTGGGTCCTAGGGGAGTGCCTGCTGTATCCCTGCCTAGGTGTCAGAGCTGGAGACCCTGCCCAGAGATGTGTCCCGGCTGGCCTACACCCAGCGCATCCTGGAGATTGTGGGTAATATCCGGAAGCAGAAGGAAGAGATCACTAAGGTACACCATTGTGGCTGTGCAGAGTGGGTCACACAGCCAGACATGCCCAAGGGGCAGATGTGTGTAGTGTGGCCACACAGGGACCTCACACCCTCTGAGGCAGAGCTACCTGGCCACACCCTGACACAGAACAGTCCCACACGGTCCACTCCAGCCACCCCAGACACAGTGATACACAGGCCCTGTCTGGATGTATGAAAACCCTCAGCTGGCTGCCCGCCCCAGACGTGGGCTCATGGCTACCCTGGTCTCTGCCAGATCTTGTCTGACACGAAGGAGCTTCAGAAGGAAATCAACTCCTTGTCTGGGAAGCTGGACCGGACGTTTGCAGTGACTGATGAGCTTGTGTTCAAGGTGTGGGGCAGGCCGGGCCGGGTGGGAGGTGGGGTGGGGCTGGGCTGCTGCCTGCCCATCTGCTCATTGGCCGGCTTGGGCCTGGGCCCTGCATAAGTCTTGTAGGTACACTAATGCTCAGGCCTGGCTTTGCACCCTGGAGGATGAAGTCAGGGGAGTGGGAGAGGGTGGCCATGTGGGAACCTGGGGGTGGTGTGTGTGAGGGGGCGGGGGGACAGCCCACTGATACCTTTGAGGTCCCTTCTGTCTGGTCAGGATGCCAAGAAGGATGATGCTGTTCGGAAGGCCTACAAGTATCTAGCTGCCTTGCATGAGGTGAGGGGAGAAGCGTGCTGGGGGGCTGGCTGGGGAGGGGCGGGGTTAGGGTACAAGCCTTCTGCTCCTGTTGTCCCCAGAACTGCAGCCAGCTCATCCAGACCATCGAGGACACAGGCACTATCATGCGGGAGGTTCGAGACCTTGAGGAGCAGGTGAGGCCTGGGGGTAGGAGAGGAAACCAAGGCAGGCCAGGGGACAGCTCCTCGGTTTATGCCGAGAGAGGCTGTGGAACCAGCCTTGCCCCTTAGTAGCTGGGTGACCTAGGACATGCCAGTATCCTACTCTGAGCCCCAGCTTCTTCCTGAGGGTCTTCACAGGGCCCTCTGCCTCCTAGGGCCATTGGCAGAGGCTTCAGCTTGAGTATGTAGTGGGTAACCCTGCCACGCAGCAAAGGACACTTTAGGTGGATGGACGACACATGCAAAGGCCTGGCAGTGGGACAGAGCAGGCTGTTGTTGGAGGGGGTGGGAGGAGCGCGGGAGGGGCCCCGAGTGGCCGTAATGGAGGGAGGTGGTGAGCAGGAGCTGGGAAAGGGCCCTGCATGCTGAAGGGATGTGATTTCATTGCCTTAGATTGAGACGGAGATGGGCAAGAAGACCCTCAGCAACCTGGAGAAGATCCGCGAGGACTACCGAGCCCTTCGCCAGGAGAACGCTGGCCTCCTGGGGCGGGTCCGTGAGGCCTGAGGAGCGCCCAGCAGGGCTCTCCCCCCGGCTTAGACAGGGATTTGGGGTGTTGGGGGCGATGGCCAAGCACTTGCCCCAGCCATTCTCTGTTAGCTGTCTAGTTCCTCCTGCTGTGGCCTTGAACTAGACCCCTGCCCACCTGACTCCAACCCTTATCTGGGGTGATCATCCAGAGTGTGGGAGCTCGGCTGCAGTTTATTGGGGACAGCACTGGGGGTTGGGGCCTTGGATCCCAAATAAATGAGGGGCTCTGACTGCAGTCTAAGCTGAGCCATGGCTAGGGACACAGGGCAGGGGCGGGGGGTGGGTGGCGTTTGAGCCTCGGTACATTTTGGTGAGTCAGTGTGTGTGGCCATGCATGTCCGTGTGGGACTCAGGAGACCCGCTGGGGCGCTGTGTGGGTGTGCGTGTGTGCAAGATGCACAGGTGAGTTCTCAAGGGCCGTGTGACTGAGCATATGTGTTAGGAGCTGCGTGAGACTGTGCGTGACTGGTATGTGTCTGCATGGCTTTCTGGGACCTGAGATCCTGTAGGTACTGAGGCTGCTTCTGCACGGGTGTCTGGGCATGGCCTGTGTGACACTGCACCTGTGGGCCCAGAGGCTGGCTGGGGGTGTGTGCTTTGGGGTATGTAGGTTGACAAGACTGTGTTCAGGCATGATTGTCTGTGTGATTATGCAGATTTGAGGTCATCTGAGTGTACCAAGGCAGGCTCTTTGTGTTTTGGAGTTTGTATTGAGTCCAAGCGACAGGATTGTGACCATCTGTGTGTCTTTTCCAGCCCCAAGATCATCTGTGAGAGTGACTGAGGCAGGCTGTGTGTGTGGTTGGTTGTGAAAGCTCATTTTGGCTGGAGAGCCCATCGCAGGAGGCTGGGCCAGGGGTGTAGGGCTGGGGCCCCTCTGAGCAGCCTTGGTGCAGAGCATATGATCCAGGAGGGTGGTCAGCTGGGGAGCGGGGTCCCCGGCAGGCAAGACAGTGTGCACCTCACTTCTTGGTCCCTGCGGGCAGGTCCAGGGCCTATCACCCCTGCCCCCTGCCACTTCCATCCCCCAATTTGGCCCCTGTCCTTCCTTCCTTCTTTCCTTGGTTTCGAGGTCAGGGGCCAGGTGTGGGGTTGGAACACCTGCTGGGCCTCTGGCTCCTCTTCTTGCGGAACTCGAACTCATCCACGGTCCACACAGCCCCCTTCTCACTCTCCACCCGCACGAAGCACTTGTGCAGGCTCAGGTTGTGGCGGATGGCATTCTGTGGAGGGAGGGCCAGCCGGCCGGGGGCGGGGGGAGCGGGCGGGCAGTCATGCTCTGAGGTCAGCAGTCCTCACCAAAACCCGACCTCCTGCCCCCTCCCAACATGCCTACAAGCCCAGCCCCAGGCCCAGCACCCTGGTGGCATCTGAGGCCCTCCCAGCCACTGCCACTTCCAGAGGAGCTCACCTTCCAGGTGGCAGGGTGGTTTCTGAAGAAGGCGAACATGCGTGTGAACCAGTGATAGATCTCGTTGAGTGTCCGCTGCTTCTCAGGAGCCTCCAGGATGGCCTGGGGGTTAGGGGGTGTGGGGTAAGGGGAGCCGCTCTCCCAAAGTTGGGCTGAGAGGGGCAGTGGCCCACCCTGGGCCATCTGACATGGGGTGGAATTGTGGGGGCAGGGGAAGGGAGAGAGGGAGATGATGTGGGGTCAGAGACAGGGTTAGAAGTGGGGTGAAGATGGGGGCAGGAGGGGGTTAGGTAAAGGATCAGGGTTGAGGTTGGAGTGGGGTCTGGTTAAGGGTTGGCGCTGGAGTTAGGTTACAGGTCTGGGATAGAGTTGGAGTTGGGGTTCTTTGTAGGGGTGACATTTCAGGGTTTGGGAAGTTAAGGGCCAGGAGTGGGATGAAGTTAAGGATTTGGAAGGGGTAAAGGACCAGGCAGAGTTCAAGGGGAGGGAAGGGATTGGTTAAAGGTCAGGCTAGGGATGGACTGGGGTGAGTTGAGGGTCGAGGGATGGGATGGCATTAGGTCAGGAGTCAGAGATGGGCCTAGTTATCTAGCTACTTTATGTGTCAAGGATGTGGTTAGGTTCAGGGTCAATAATGAAGTTAGCTGTGGCGAAGTGGAAGTTAGCTGTGTGTAGTCATTAAGGGGCACGGCTAGGGCTAGGTGTGGAGTGAGGCCAAGGGTCAGTCCCCATTGGATTTGTGTGGATTTAAGAATGGGGTTAAATCCAGGGTCAGCGATTATGGCTGCCATGAGGTTTTGGGTCAGGATGGGCCTTGGTAGGGGAATCTGTGGCATCGTGTAGGCCTAGGATGAAGGTCCGGGCAGCCTCTAGTGATGGTTCTGGGAAGGCATTTGGGAGATTCAGATGAAGGAGTTGGGATGGGGTGAGGTTAAGGGCCAGGTGTTACAAGGAAGGGGTTAGGGATGGAGTCCCGCTGGGGGATGTGTTGACATAGTGGGGTATGTCGGGGCTGGGGAAGGAGTTAGGATAATACCTGGGGTGGGTTTAGGGCCAGGGGAAGAAATGAGGTTCGTTTTTGGGCTATTTATAGGTCTGGGAGAGGGTTAAGTATGGGGTTGAGATGGACTTCAGGAAAGGGGTGGGTTTAGAGCCAGAATTTGGCTTGCACTGGCCTGGATGGTGGTTTCGGTTTGGGTTCAAGGGTAGGTCTTGGGTGAAGCCAGCACGGGGGATCACATCTGAAGCTACGGGTTTGTTCATGAAGGAGCCTGCCCTGGGGGTGCTCAGCGGGGGCGGGGTGGGTGGGAGTTTGGGAGGCAGGTCCCCACCCCTTCTTTCTCTTCCTTCTCCTCATCCTGAGCTGCCCTGCTTACCCAGCGGATGAGAGTGGCATAGGTGAAAGGGGGCCGCATGTTGTGGAACTTGAAGTAGTCCATGTTGTGGAAGAACTCTGCTGGGGTGGGCGGGGAGAATCAGGCCCCATCCGGGAGCTCCTCGCTCCCTCCCCCGCCCTCCACTCTACAGCATCCTGTCTGCACGCCTGAAATCCCACCCTTAACACCAGTTTCCATGATCACGGGTACTGTTTGCTGAGCACTTGACATAAATTGTATCATTTACTCTGCACCCCTTCCACAAAAATGGGGCTTGTTTTCCCTGAGGTTTAGAAGAAGTGAAGTAACTTGCACACCAAAGGGATGTAACTGGTTAAGTGGCAGAGCCAGGATGACACTCAAGGGTCCTGATCCCTGTTAAGCCAATAGCGTAGGCCTTGCAGGCAGTAGGAGACTCATGAGCTCGGGTGAATCACCCCACTTTTCCTGGGGGAAGGAAGGGAGAATCCCTGGGAATTACTTAGCTAGTTCCCTCCCTTCTGATGGCCAAATGGAATAGCTGAAGCCCAGAGTAAGTGAGCCCCAATCCCCAGGGGAGACAGCTGAGACCATAATGGGGCCTTGCAGGCCATGGAAATCCTGAGAGGAAGCTTTTGCAAGCAGATGTGTTGTTCCCAAAGGCTGGGTGGCAGTGGTGGGGAAGAGCAGTATGGAGCTCCTTTCTGTCCACCCCTCACTCCCAGTGCCCATTAGGGGCTCGGGGGGCATGACGTAGTGCACGGACCAGCCTTACCCGGGAATGTGCTGTTTCCGTGGCTGCCCCAGAGGTGCCTCCGCACAGCAAACAGGCCATCTGGGGCCTCCTGGGGGCTGGGCCAGGCTGGGACAGCGGTGCCCGGAGTGCCAGTGGCTGCGAGGCGGCAGGAGCCCTTGTCAGATGATGCCTGAGTGAGAAGGGAGAAGCTGGTGACCCAGAGGCTTAAACTTTCCACTTTAATTTTAAATAAGTAAAGTGTTTTTAAAAGCCGGGTTGCCCTGCTCTCAATTCCAGTCTGATGTGGAATCCCATGAAGCAGCACAAGCCATATTTATTAGAGTGCGGGTGTGGACACTAGCGTGTGAGGGCACCGGTGCTGGGGCCATGAGCTGGGGCCGAACTTGGCTCCTCTACTACCCAACTGTGACCTTGGCAAAATCACCGAAGCCTCCCTGGCCTCCATTTTGCTCGTCTGCGAACTGGGGGCGATAATAATACCTACCTCACGGTGGCCTCACGAGGATTAAATAAGTTAACATGAGCCAAGTGCTCAGCAGTGGTGCCTGGCCCCCAGGCCGGCTTCGTGGGCGTGTGACCTGTGCAGTCGCACAGGGCCCTGCACTTTGTTTAATGCTCTGCGGACCTTATCTTGAAATCTGAGGCCTGCATTTTCGTTTTGCACTGGGTCCTGTGAGTTATGTAGCTGGTCCTGCCAACGGCGCATGATCTACATTCAGTATCTTTGGCTATTTGCTATTGCTTTGAAAAGTCAAAATTGCATTGTTTCGGGATCTTAGGGTCAGAGGGTTTGTAAGTGGAGGGGGACAGATTCCCAGGTCTAGGTGCAAGGATAGGTCCCCTGCCCCCTGCAGGGCCCCTCCCCTGCCCCCCAGTAGTCTGTGCCACCCACCGGCCTGGGGTGGCTCACCGCAGACGGAGCCTTGGTCAGGGCCATCTTCCCAGCCAGGTGGGCCTGCATAGCGCCCAGCTTCTCCTTCTCCAGCACCAGCTGTGAAGACAGGCACAAAGTGAGGCCTCAGCTTGGCCTTGTCTGCCACATCTTTGCCCAGGCCATGGCCTTCCCTGGGAGTACCCTGCCCCCTCCCTTCCTTTATGCCAGCCCCCATCCTGGAGGAGCTTGGCTCCTGGCACAGGGTGGACATGAGGTTCACCATCTCCCCCCACCATGTCACCTGCTGCTCCAGAGACTGCACCACCTCCCTCTGGAGGAGACACTGCGCCCTGCCCTTCTCATCCAGGAGATGGTCCGCCTGGCAGTGCCTGAGGAGGGGAAGATTCCAAGCAGGTGACCACGGTGGGCCTGGCCTCTTGGCTCAGTGTTCTGAGTGGGGAGGGCCTGACCCTCTGGGAGGTCCCTCCTCAGAGTCTCAGCCTCCCTCCCCTCTCTCTACCTTGGTCTCCCTCTTGCACCTGTCATTCCTTCAACACATGCTACTTGACGTCTACTGTGTGCCAGGCCTGAGCTTGCCACGTGAGCCTGGCCAGGGTGTTGGAGATGTTGTGGGAAGGGTGGTGAGCTGAGAGTGGGCCAGGTAGGAAAGGCATTCCAGGTAGAGGGGACAGCCTGAGCAAAGGCCTGGTGGTGACACTGATAGTTGGGTGTGGTTGGAGAAGGGGTGTGTGTGTGTGTGTGTGTGTGTGTGTATAATGGGGCTGAGGGGAGGCAGCAACAGCCATTGTGAGGAGTTGGGACTTTGGGGATCAGTAAAATCAGGCTGGTGTGTTGGCATGAGGGGTAGCAGGGCAAAGCAGTTAGGAATGCGGATTCTAGAGCCTGGCTGCCTGGGTTCAAATCCCAGCTCTGTTGCTTAGGAACAGGGTGATCTTGATCAAGACACTTAGCCTCTTTGGCCCCAGTTTCTTTGTCTGTAAAATGGAGGTAAATAATAGTACACCTCTATTATTATGCCCCAGTATACAGATGAGTAAACCGAGGACCAGAGAAGCTAAGTAACTTGCCTGAGGTCACACAGCCGGTGAGTGATAGAGCAGGGATTTGAACCTGCAGTCTCAGCTTTTGCCTCTTTCATTTTACTACCTATCGGAATGAGGCCTGAGTGGAGACCTGCACCCCAGATCTCCCACAAACTGGGGACTCCCCCAGACTGGAATGGGCTTAGCCCACTCACTTGAGGAAGTCCTCTGGCTCCTCGAAGACCTTCTCGCATCCAGGCCACTTGCAGACGCCATTTGCCAGCAGTGAGTAAGAGCCCTGGGGCATGGTCGAAAGGGTGCTGGGGGGACAGAGGGTGTCAGGGGCGGGGATGGCAGGGTGGGAGTCCTTCCCAGCCCTGCCCGCTCACCTGTCTTTCCTGGGTGCACTGGGGCTTGGGAAGGTGCAGAGCAGTGCTGGTTCCCTGGACACCCATTCCACACTGGCCACGTTGATCCCTGCAGGTGGGGACAGGGCACTTCTGGGGACTGTGGGCCAGGCTCTGGAGCTCAGTTCACAAGGCCTATCCTTTTTAGTTTCCCACCCCCGTGAGCCTCGCAGGCCCTGACTCCCAGGGGGCTCTGTTGTCCCTAACATCCAAGGCTTCTGGTGGAGCAGTTCAAAGACTGCCATTTGTTAGTGCTGACATTTTGACTAACTTTGCAAAGATCTGCAGTTCTGTGAGTTTGACATTCTGCATCTTTAAGGTTCTGAGCCTGACATTTTTTGGAGGTTGGAGTTTCCAAGATGATAAGAACTGACGCCTCTGACCTCCTGAGGGCCACGATTCAGCAGCCTACACTGCTCCCGTGCAAGGACTCGGGGCTCTGGGGTTCTGTGGAGCTGCGGGGTGTGGTGTTACCAGGTGGCAGGCCGGGCCGGGCCTTGAGGGAGAAGACCCCGGTGGCAGCAGTGGGTGGTGGAAGGCTGATCATAGCTGGGCTGTCCAGTGGGCGCACCTGCAGCACTGGGGTCCGGGCATGGGTGTCCACCGTTGAGAGCTGGGGGCACATGTGGGCCATGGTTCAGCCTGGCCCCCCTCACCAGTTCTCCCATCTGCTCCATCCTCCCTGCCCATTCAGGGTCAGTACCTGGTGCATGAAGTGTGGCCTGTCCTGGAGGAGTGCCTGCAAGTGGGGTGAGGGACCCAGCCGTGCTCCGGAGGGTGCCACCATGACTAGAGGCACTGTGGGCAGCTGGGGGGAGAAGGCAGGCAGGTGAGATGCCATCTTCCTCCTCACTGTTCTACATGGCTAATTCATCCACTCCTCACCACAACCCCATGTGGCAGGTACTATGACTATCCTCATTTTACATATGTGGAAACTGAGGCTCAGAGAGATCGACTGATTTTTTCAAGATTAAACAGCTAGTATGTGGCAGAGCTGGCCTCAACCCTGTCACCTCACCTCCTTGGGCCCCAGTCCTCTCCTCTGTCACATGGGGATGGGGACACATGGCCGTGCCCGCGGGACCATGAAAGGGTCTCCTCTCCTGAGACAGGGATTGGGAGGTCGAGGAGAGCCTCGAATCTCTGAGACCTGCTAAGTGGGGACTTTCTTGGCCCTGTGACATCTGCATAAGTCACAGACTTGCCTGGGACCCAGAAAACCACTTCCTGTGCCCCAGCCGGGCCCCCCGCCCAGTGCCACAGTAAAGGTCGGCACCTGTAGGCCCAGGTACCCCACCCTGCCTGCCCCATCCTGGGCCCTGGGCCTCACCTGCAGCTGCGATGGTGGCACAGGGTTCAAGGAGGAGGAGGCATGGGCCCCACCTCGGAGGTCCCGACCCTGGAAGGCTGCCCCTGGGCCCTTGGCCCCCAGCAGGTCCGAGGCCTTTGGTGCAGCTCTCCAGCTGGGCGAAGTTCCTGGGGATGGGCCGAGCGCCAAGGAAGGGGCTGAGGGCTTGGCTGGCCTGGAGTTGGGCATTGGGTCCTTGTCCGAGGGCAGGCTGTGGGGACATAAGGGGAAGGAGTTACACATGTGCTGGGGGAGGGGTGAGAAATACTCAACCACTTGGATACCCCCTCTGATCAGAGCAGGCATTGGCTGGGGCATGTCCCAAAGGGCCCCACAGCTGGACCCCCAGCTCGAGTCCTGCACACACACACATTGGTGTCAGGAATACAGGGATGCGTGTTTCTCCATGCATGCCCCACGTGGAGACGTGCACGGGTCCAGCACATGGCTTGCCTGCGCATGCGGGTCCAGCCCTAGTGGGATGTGTCCTCCATGAGGGCAGTCGGGAATTCAGGGTGGTGTGCACGGCCTCAGCCAGAGCGGGTCTCAGCTCTTCTCCCCCACCACTTGAGGCTTGTCTCCAAGCCTCAGCCATCTGGTCCTCCCTGTACCCTGCACGGGCCACACAACCTTTGCTGATTCTGCTGGGGCTGGTCTCTGACTCTCCTGGTGGCAGTCTTTTACCTCAGTGACTTGGGCATATCTGGGAGTGGAGAGGGGCATGGACTCAAAAGTTCCCTTGGGCTGCCGTGAGCAGGACAGACTCTAGGAGGGCGAGGGCAGGAGCTGGGGTACTAGTGAGGACACTACGCAACAGTCCAGGCAAGCGACGGTGGTGGCACAGACCAGGATGGCGGCAGTGGAGGTGGTGAGAAGCGGGTGGATTCTGAGTGTTTTGAAGGTGGAGGAGAATTTGCTGGCAGCTTGGATGTGGGGGGTGAGAGAGGGAGGGTCAAGGTGACTTTTGGGTATTAGCCTGAACAGCTGGAAGGACAGAGCTGACATTACCTGAGATGGGGGAGATGGGGGGAGCAGAGTTGGGCGTGATGATCCACATGCAGAGGGACATGAAGAGTCTGGTGTTAAACATGCGGTTGGAAATGCCAAGTGGGCAGCTGAGTGCAGGAGTCGGGAGCTCAGATGGGGGCAGGGTCTGCTCATTGCTGGGCTCCTGCCCTGCACAGAGCTGGCATGGCAGGTGCCAGAGAGGAAGAGAGACAGGCTCTTGAGCCAGGGCCTGTGGGAGCTCCTCGACTCAGCCTACACCAGAGTTCACCCCAATCTCTGCTCCCCAGGCCTGACTCATGCTATTTGCTCATGCTATTTGCCCTGCCTGGAATGCCTGCTCTTCCTCTTCCCCTATCCAGACAGCCCTCCATAATGGCTCCAGGCCCCTCTGCTGAGCCCCAGAACCTTACACTCCCCATTGGGCAGGGCTTCGCTTTCTCCGAATCCTGTAATCCCCAGCTAGAGATGGAAGGTACTGCCTAATCCAACCTCCATTTTATTGAAGGGAACATCCAGCTGCACAGTCCCATGGTGACTTGAGAGCTCCACTTCTTTCCCCAGAAAGCGTGCGTGTGTGCACATTTCACAAGCCATCTGCTATGGGGCTGTGTGTGTGTGCGCGCGCGCGCGTAACTCCCCACCCCACCTCACCCCACTGCACTGAGTTGGACACACAGCTGCTGATAGCAGCCTGGGGGAGCACAAGGAGGGTTCTGGGGGATCAACGCTCCTTCCTTTCTTTGCTGGCAGCTCATGGGGTTGTCAGAGCTGTGGTGCTGAGGGAGGAGGGTGTGAGAATCCAGGTATTAACCTCAGTCTCTCGGGGGGGAGCCCGCATCTATGGAGGCTTAGAACAAGGGCCTGAGAGAATGTCGGTGACTGTGAGGAGGTGAGTGAATGAATGAAGGTAGAGACCGGGGTGATGCTTCTACAAGCCAAGGAACGTCCGATTGCCAGCAAACCATCAGAAGCTAGGAGAGGCACGGACAGATTCTCTCTCGTGGCACTAGAAGAAACCAGCCCTGCTGACATCTTGATCTAGGACTTCTGGCCTCCAGAACTGTGAGACAATAAATTTCTGTTGTTTAAACCCCCTGGTTTGTGGCACTTTGTTACAGAGGTCTGAGTAAAGTAAGATGGATTTGGGTGAGTGAGTGGATGTTTTCCATCACTGTAGCCTGGCCCACATGTCTGGCCTGTGGTCACTTCTGAAGCTGCCTGGACACTTGGCGAGAGCTTATAAGAAACGTCCTCCCCAAACACATCTGGAACAGCCTGACTCAGGGAAGCACAGATACATTCTCAGAAAGGGGACGTGGATATGGTCTGTCTGGTGGTGGGGTACCTGGAGGGCTGGGCTGGGCAGCCGGCTTCCTGCACTGTCTGTTGGGGCGTCCCTTTCTGACTGTTTCTCAGAAGCTGCATGGAGGATGTTTCTGGGACACAGATTGTGTTTTCCTATCGGGGTCTGCATCTGGGCCCTGTTGTCACAGCCCCCGACTTCCCCAGATTTTTCCGCCATTGACGTCATGGCGGCCGGATGCGCTGGGCTTCATCGGCACCAAGGAGGAAGAGAAAGGGGCAGACACCCCACCCCACAGGTTTCGTTCCGAGAATTGGCTGGCCCGTCCTGCAGCCAGCTTGGCCCAGGTGGGGTGATGTGGGTGCTGGCGGATGTGGTGAGTGACGTCCATCTGGCCACCATGACAAGCCCTGGGCCCTGTAGACCTGGCCCTTCTTGGGCCATGGAGATACCCAAGGTTTGATGCTTAGGGAGTGCCATGCAGACCCCACAGATACTGGGACCCTCAGGGTCTTCAAATTGTACTAGGCCAGAAGCTCAGAATCATAGAACGTTATTTCTTAGATTCAAAGGATCCCAGAATCTCAAACCCACAGATTCTGTGGGGCCCGTGGGTCCAACTTCTCACTAGTGAAGGCCAATGTCCCTGGTGTCCAAACTCACTGGAACTCCCTGAAGGACTGGAGGCTCACTACTCATAGTGCCTCGTGCCTACCAGGCCTGGAATTGCAGCAAGCCTGCCCTCAGCCTTCCTCATAAGTTCTGTGAAGGCAGGAGGGTCAGAACCCTTCTACTTTCTCCACCCTGGGGGCAGGCTCTGCCACTCACTAGCTGCAACTCTCCTCAGGCTCATTTGTGCATTGGGATTGTAATGGTACCCATCTTCCAAAGTTAATGCACATGAGACACTTAGCAAAACGCTAGTGATCGGCAAATGGACACCTGCAGGGCCTCGGTCTCCCTGTCTATTCTGGGACAATATTCCCAAACTCACAGCCACTCCGCCAGAGATGGGGAGGGAAGCACGGGGAGGTAGAGGCTGGCGTGCCTTCAGCTAGGGCCTCGTGGCAGGGAGCAGGAAAAGCCCTGGCTTTTGCCGGTAGAGAGCCCACCACCAGGCTCTCTGGAGGGGCCCTGGGATAGAGGTTTTCAGGGACCAATGCCAGCTCTGGGGACACAGCTGAGCTCTGTCCACAGCCAGACCCACAGCCAGACTGACTGACTTATGTCCCTCCAGTATCACTGCCCTCTGCCCACGAGGCCTCCTAACCCATGGGGCCCTGGGACCGCACCCAGCCTAGCTCTTGTGAGGCTGGGCTGCACACCATGACCGTGGATCCTCCTGCCCGAGTGAGGGTCCAACCTGTGAGAAGGCAGAAGCCTCCCTCATGGGGCCTGAGGCATAAACTGAGGCCCACAACAGGGAGAGAGACAGAGCCAGGGTCCCACCAAGAATCCTCAGGTCTGAGCTTGGGTCTCAACTCTGCCACTGTATCTCTGTGAGGCCTTGGGAGAGGCCCTCACATCCATCTCTGGGCCTCAGTTTGCCCCTTTGTACGCTGGGGAGGGGAGAGGTGTGGAGTAGATGAGGGCCAGGGCCCTTCGGCTCTGCGTCTGGGTGAGTTGTTAGATGTCTGCAGGGCTTCAAGTTGACAACTGCCCCTCTATCCAGGGGACTGGCTGAGAGACAGGGATACATAGAGTCAAAGAGAGACAGAAATAGAGAGAGATAGACATAGGGGAACAGAGAGACACAGAGAACAAGAGAGACAGGGATGGGATAGACATGAGGTGGGACAGAGATAGACACACAGAGTGACAAAGAGAATGAGAGAGACGCTGAGAGAAGGAGAGACAGAGTAACGGGGGAGCGGTGGAGAGGGACTCATAGGAGCAGAAAGTCATAGAAGTACACACAAAGTGGGAGACAGAGATGAGGGAAACAGAGAAAGAACAAGAGAGACAGAAACAACACCACAAGTAGAGAGGAGGGTGGGGGAGAGACAGAGAGAGACAGAGAGACAGAGAGGCCCCAAATAAGAATAGTCGATGGTCTTTGGCTGGAAGAACTGATGCTGCCTGAAATAACGAGGAACGACAAAGGGCAAGATGCCTGGGGCCTCAGCCGGCTGGCTGGCAGACGGGCACTACATTGTATTGCAAAGCAACAATCAGCCAAGCAGTGTGGCCCTGGTACGAGAACAGACACTGAGGGACAGAGCAGAATAGAAAGCTCAATCGCGTTTGTGATGAATGTGGCATTTCAAACTGGGGGATGGTGGAGGATAGAGTGTTAAACAAATGTTTCTGGGATAATTAAGGGAAAAATAAAGTTATTGAATGAATAATCAGTCCATTTTCCCACCAACCCCTCCCTGCCCAGTTCGAAATGTCACCATCATCATATACCTTAAAATAAATTTCAGATCTATTAAAGAGATAAATAATAATATCTAATACTGATCTTGGGTTTATTGTATGCCAGGCCCTATGCTAAGCACTTAACATGGTTAATAGATTTAATCCTTATAACCACCCTTTGAAGTAGGTACTATTATAAGCATCACAGTACATATGAGGAAATGGAGGTACAGAGAGGTTAAATGCCTGGCTAAAAATCACACAGATGGCTTGGGGTAGGCTGGGTTTGTCCCAGACAGTCTGGCTCCAGTACCCACACTCTTAACCTCTACACTAAATGGAAAAAATGAAGCCATAAAAGAGATCAGAAGCCAACAGGGGTGAACATTTATCTCATTTTCAAGTGGGAAAAGACTTTCTAAGCACAAAACCAGAGACAGTAACCACAGAAGAAAAGACTAACCTATTTGACTATATAAAAACATCATAAGCATCACAAAACACCGTAAACAAATACAAAAAGCAAATGATGAATTGGGGGAAAATATTTGCTATATATGTATGGCTGATGGAAGGTTAATATCTTTTCTAAATAAAGAGCTGTGACAAATCAATAAGAAAAAATATGAACACCTTATTAGGACTAAGGACATGATCAGACAACTAAAAAAAAGCACATATGGTCAATAAACAATATAAGTAATCAAAGAATTCAAGTTTCCACAATGTAATATTTTTTTCTTACCTGTTATGTTGAGAAGGGATTAAAAAATGATAATACCCACCCAGGGTTAGCTTGAGTAGAAGGAGCATAAAACAGGACAACCTTTTGGAAGAGCAATTTGCAGAGAGGGTCAGAAACCTTAAAAATGCACATACCCTTTGCCCCAGCAACTCCATTTTCAGGAGTCCAAGGAACAAAGCAGGGATGATTACGGGGAAAAACTAGAAACGACCCGAATATCCAATAATCGGCACTTGGTTCGAACCAATCATGGTTCATGCCACTGTGAGGAGTCTTGACAGCCATGAATGATCATATGTTGAAACAATTTTTAGTGATCTACAAACATGCTCCTATTAATTGAATAAAGCAGAAACAAAATCAACAGATAGCATGATTCTAATCTGGTTAAAAAAAATACTAAGAGCACTTGCTAAGCCTACAGAGACAAGCTCGCCCTAGTCCTGAACAGCCCGCTCTGGTCCTGGATGTGGACTCTGGCCACACACAGACACACACACACACACACATGAGGTCCTGGGGGTAGGATCACACAGCTAAATCACGACTGACAAACGCATGACGTGCCCCCAGAAGGGTCTCTTATGCGGTGCAAGTACAAATTCAGTTAAGCGTTCAGCCTGACCCAACAGCTCACAGTCCTCCTCCGATCAGAGCAAACAGAATTGATGCTCAGTCTTGCAAAATGTAAATGTCCTCATTGACGTTACTGAACACACTATTATTAAGCTCCAACTGTGTATAAAGCTCTGTGCTGGATGCTGGATGAGAAGGCAGGAGGGGAAGGCAAGACGAGAGCAGGAGAGACGGTGAGAGAAAGACGGGGAAAGGAGATAAACAGTGTTTGGTCAAGGTGGAGGAGACAGAGAAAGACAGAGGATTGAGTCTGAGTGCCAGGGAAACAGACAAGGAAAGAGAGGGGCAGAGAAACATGGAAGGACTGAGACAGGGCGCGCAGAAGCAGAGAGAATGGGAGATATTGAGGGAGAAGAGATGAAGAGATGCGAGAGATGTAGTTGAAATTTCCAGTTACTCCTGGGCAGTGTTTCAAGTTGTTCAAAGCTCTGAAATTCATAAAGACTGGAAGTTGACCTATTTTAAAAATCCTACCCATCTACATCTCAATCAATTTATTTAACTTTGCCTCCGCCCAAGCATTGATTAAGTACTTTACCTGTCAGTCTTCTGGCATTTATTATTATTATTATAAAAGACACCTTACCTGACCGGGACCACAGTAGCTGCGTGCGCCTGGACTGTACCGGAGGGCCCCTGACCCTCCAGTGCCTACCTCACTGCCATCTCTTCCATTGGACCTGCATCTGGTGGGGGAGAGCGGGGACACTCACCTTCGTGAAGTGGACTGACAGAAAAGGATCAGCCTGGCTTGTGGGAAACTGTCACATATCAAAAACAACTTTGCTTTTATACCGAGAAGAAAAACCACGGTGTGGAAGCCACAGACCTCTCTCTTCTAATAATCCAATTTTTTTTTTCGATCAGTGTGTGCGCTGATAATCACGGGGTGGGGGGGGTTCTCATAGTTCTCTCTCTCTCTCTCTCTCTCGCTCTTGCTCTGTTTCTCCTCTTCTTGATTATGAGACTTAAACGGAAATTTTGAAATTTTGGGTTTTTTCTTTGCCCTTTACGAGTCATCTGAAAATATGATTTCTTCCCCTCACCACAGAGGTGAGAGGTATCAATGAGATAACAGGTTCATGAGAAACCACAGGTTTTTAAACAAAAGTGTGTAGAGTTAGGAAAAAAAAAAAAAAAAAAACAAGGGAAAAGAACTTAAATAAATCACAGGGGCGTCCCAGGCAGGCAGAGACCACTCTGTGAGGGAGAGGATATTTGCGGGTCTCTGGGGAAAGAAAGAGCAGCACTGAGGCCCTATGCGTGGATGAGAAATACCAGGGAAAGACAAGGAATAGGGTTGAGTTTCCAGTGGCTTTGCCCTGCGCCATGCCTCAGTTTCCCCTTAGGTGGAATTGATATGGTCATCACGGCTCTTACTGGCCAGGGAAGGGGAGCTCTGGACACTCTTGCAACACATCTTCCCACAGAGGGTGAGGGGCAGGGAAGTTACTTCATGCAGAAAAAAGCAGGGAGTGCCTCCCCCCACCCCAATTCACAGAATCGAGGTCTGTGAATCACTGGCTCCCAGAATCCACTGAACAGCACTGAGGGAGAAAAGTTTCACCTCATCATGTCTTAGGGCCTGAGAGCGCTAACCCCAAGACCACCCTACAGGGAAGGTCCCAACCAGGTCCCCAGTATTAATGCTTCCATCCTCATGAAGCCCAGAGGCCCACTAGGATCCCAACGCTCTCAGAGTCAGGGGCACCATGGCCTGATGCTTCTGAGGCCCTCAGCCTTTGCAGTTTTCTACTTCAAAAAATCCCAGTTTCCAAATATCTGCCATCATCCCTGTAGCTGCTATTTATCTCAAATTTTCCACGTGTCAGACGCAGTGCTGGATGCTTCTCACAAACGATCACGTTCAATCCTCACCACAGCCCCGTGAGGTCCATCTTGTCATCGTGGCCGTCATACAGATGGGAAAACAGAGGCACAAAGTAGTCGAGCAACTTGCCCAAGATCACAGAGCTGGCGAGTGGGGGGCCTGCCTTCCTTGGCACCGGGCTTTGAAACCCCCAAGTTTCCCTGAGCCCAGTGTTCTCAGGTTTTAAATTCTAGGATGCAATGACAGGGAGGTTCTGAGATTTGGAGATTCTTCTGGGGGCTTGAAGCTTGTGAGGTTTTAAGGTTGTCCAAGAATTAGCGATTGCATTTCCTCTCCTCAGCGGGCACCCCCTCCAACCAATGGTCAACAGAGGAGACTAGCCCCCAGGGGCTTCTCCTGACAGGCCACGGTCGAGACTCTCAGGGTCTGGCTCCCCAGTGCTCTGCATGGCCCAGGGTTCTGTCATCCAGGGTCCAGTCCGACCCCTCTGCAAGACTGGCTTCAGGCCTAGGGAAGAGAAATTGGAAACGGCTATTTATTCACATGATACAAACTTAGTAGCCAAGACCCACCCCTTCACTCCTTTGCCTTTTTCCTCCCCCCACCTCCCAAGCCCTCAAAAAAAGGAGAGCCTCTTTCCTCAAGTCAGACTTACCTTTCTGGAAGAGCCCAGAGAGGGCCTGATGGCCTGGCTTTGTGAAGACAAGAAAAAAAAGAAAAAAAAAAAAGGTGAATAGAAAAAAAAAGACCTAAAAAAAAATCAGCCAACAACAACAATTTAAAAAAAAAAACCAACCCTCCCTACCATTAGTTCAAAACAAAACTTTTGCTCGTTGAGGCTTCTGAGTTGGTGGGACATGTCGGAGACCCAAAAATGCTCTGTGAGTGCCAGGCAGCCAGGGGAGGCACAAGGTGGGATGAAGTCCTCAGGCTGGAGGCTTGCAGGGCCCCTGTGTACAGCAGGGCTTAACAGATGTTGCGGCATGTGGTTGGGAGCGAGAAGGGGCGAGGAACAAGCTTGTCAGGAAGGAGTCCTGGGAAACCAACTTTGGAGATGTCCCCAAGGTGAATGACCCCTTACTCCCTGTGAACTTGGGTCTGAACATTCCCTACACCTCCTGTGTAACTATAAACCAGGCCAGTTGAAGAAGCTGAGGCCTCATTCCCTGCCCTAGGACCTGTCCCCTCCTGAGAGAGGGGGCTGCTTTTCTCTTTTAGGGTCAGAGTTGTGGGCTGCATCCTCCTTACACCCTCCCCAGACCATCTCTCCCTTACTGTCACTTGCTCCATGAGAGGAGTGGCCAGGGAAGTAGGAGGAAAACTGAGTGAGAGGTGTGGCCCAACGAGTCCCAGGAGACCACTTGAGCGGGACCTGGGTGTGGGAGGGGTGATGCTGCTGCTGCTGCGAGCCAGGACCCTTGCAGAGTGAGGACTAGGGGGTCAGGTGGGCAGAGAGGGGTGGAGGTTACCACCTCCTTTCTCTACTGGACTATATCCTCTCACAGGGAAGGCTTCTGGGGAAGAGTGGGCAGGATTAAACAGAGGTGGGTGAAAGTCCCCAGAAAAGGGGGCTTTTGACAAAGACTTGAAGGAGGTAAGGAAGGGAGCCATGTAGATAACTGAGTAATTCCAGAGGAAACAACCAGCAAAGGCCCTGAGGTGGGAGGGTGCCTGATTTGCTCAGGGTCTACTAAGGAGGTTGGTATGGTTAGAGTTGTGTGAGCAAGAGGAAGAGGGGTAGGAGGTGAGGTCAGAGAGGGGACTGAGTGGCTTAGACCATGCAGGACCTTGTAGCCCACAGTAAGGACTTTGGCTTTTACTCTGAGTGAGAGGGGAACCAAGGGAGGGTTGTGAGCAGAGACACGTGAACTGTCTTAGGATTTAACAGGATCCCTCTGGCTGCTGAGTGTAGAACAGACTGTAGGAGAGAGGGTGGAAGCAGGGGACCGGTGAGAGGGAGGCTACCGCAATAGTCCAGGGGACTGAGGACCGTGCTGCAGTGGGCTGGGTGAGGGTGGATTCGGCAAACATTTTGAATGGAGAGCTGACAGGAGTTGTTGAAGGATGAGAGTCTTGGGGCCAGGCCAGGACACAGACAATGCCCTAAATGGGTGGGCAGAAAGGAGTCCCTGGATTACTTATCAGCTTGAACTTGTAGGTGAGAAAAAAATAAAGTTCTACCTTGCATAATCTCCCATTCTTTCATGATTTTTCTGTTACTTCCAGCTAAACATATTCTTTCCTGACCCATGACCCCATCCTGGACACTGAGACATGAGGAAAAGGGGCCTGCTGGGGGGATTGCCTCCCTCCTAGGGATGCTGTGTGTCAGAACCTTGCATACAGTAGGTGTTGAGAAAATCCTGCCAGGATGGAAGGAGAATGTATGAACGGACATGTTCAGGGGAAAAAAGTTACAATTCAATTCCCGCTGGAGGTGAGACTTCAAAGGAAGGGTGAAAGGGGAGCGAAAGTTCATTAGATGGAGGAAGCAGAAGCAGCGCTCTTGGGAGAGGGGACAGTAGGAGCAGAGACGGGCACAGAAGGAAGGTAAGTGAGGCCACTGTGGGGTGTGGAGGGCTGAGTGGGGCAAGAACGACAGGCCTCTGATTTGTGATTACGTTAGTCAACGTAGGCCAACATGCCGGATCGACCGTCGGCGGCGTACAGTCAGGCTCAGTGTTTTCCTGAGCTGAAGTTAGAAAAAGCGCATCTTCCAAAAAAGCTCAATTTCTCATTTGGCCACTCATTCGTCAAGGGTGTCACGTGCTGGAGAATGCTGAGGGTGACTATCAGGGGCATTCTTGGCTAGTGGTACCCCTCAAGCAAAGGCTCGGAGGTGGGCAGGGGAGACCCAGTAACTGCTACGAGAGAGTCCGTTTTGCTTTCTTAGATCTCATACTAGGGTGCAGTCTAGGTCTTCAGGGGCTCTGGGCGTTCAAAGCTCTGGGGCAATGGGGAATCACAGGGGTTTAAGGAGAAAGTAAATGCATCCAAAAGAGGCACACTCCTCCCAATGGCTGCCAGCATTCTACGGTTCTGCGGCCGGACGACCCTACAGCCCAGACTGTCTATGCACCATCCTCTCCTCTGGCTTCCTTATTGGCTGTTCATCCCCTCCTTTACACCATCTGCAACACCCCGTTGGCCCTGCTCTTTCCCGTCCCGCCTCCGTGTCCTTCCTGCTACACTTTCCAGCCTCTGCATTGGTTCATCCCGCTCTAGCACCGCTCTTTGCGGGCTCAACTGCCTTCAACTCTGGCTCTCCCATTGGCTATCCGCTTTCTCTCTTCCTCGCTCCCGTCTTCATCGCACACCCCCATTGGCTCTGCCTCTCCAGTCCCGTCTCCGAGGCCGCTCACACACCGCCTCTTGGGCTTCTTCTAGCCTCCGTATTGGCTAGCACCACCCTAGCACCGCCCTTTGAAGGCCAGTGCACGCTCACAAGGCTCCCCATTGGCTAGCTGCAGCTATTATCGTCATCCTTCTTCTATACACCCAGCGCGTGACTTCCCATTGGCTGTTCGCTGTCTCTTCCATCCCGCTACCTACGCAACCTACAAATCTCCTACTTTTCACTTGCTCACTCCCTGCTACCCCCATCGCTTGTAGCCAGTCCATTTTCCCCGCCGCCCACACGCCGCTCCCGCTCACACTCCCCCACTAGCTGTCCTACTTCTGTCTTCATCTCGGACCAGCACCCCCCATTCACGCCTCCCCATTGATTCTCCGAT